TTTTTTCATTTTTTCATTTTTTCATTTTTTCATTCGTCTTTGGTCATTTTTTAATAATTTCGTCACAAATATAAATATTTTATCAAATATCGTTAAACAGCTCTTTTTTATATGGACAAAATAATACGTTCCGTTTTTTAGAACGTTTGTCACCATTCAAATCCATTTATGTTATTCATAAAAATAAAATAAAATCGTTCTCTTGGTGACATAACAATCGTAAAATAAATATCAAATAATTTCAACGTCCAACCCTTTGTACCTTTTGTCTCTTCAAAATATACTAAGTATACGTTGCTTAAAAATATCACATACAATATACAGAGTACCCGTTCAAGGTTTCAAAAAATATTACAAATTTCTTATTTGTATTTAAATATTAAAAAAAATTACACTTCATGAGAGACCAAATTTTGAGCGTACTGAAATAAGTAGTCACATTATTACTATTATTTTATTTTATATCTACAATATTCAATGTGTATAATATTTAAACCCATCGGATATGAATTTTCTAATATACTACTGATTTATAAAAAATCACAGTTATCTTACATTTTCTAAATTTCTTTTACTAGTTAATTTTTTATGCAAATTATAAGAAATACTTTTAATCCTAATTTTAAAGCTTAATACTTTATTGTGCTCATTACCGATGGGCCAGTTGAAAATTATTTAAATAATACTGTATCTTGACCGAATAATGATCGATATTATATCATTAACAATGGTCACATAAGATAAAATTTTGTTTGTATATAATTTTTTAAACATTTAAAATTGTCTTTTTTCTTTTTTTAAGAAAATGGTAGCAAGGGTGGTCTAAATATAACTTCTATCCTTAAAGATGAAGAAGAAAATGTATACAAGTTAAATATAGATAAACCAGTAAAAAATATGAATTTCTTATTTTAACTAGACAGTTTAAAACCTATCGTTCTTATTACTTGTACTATATATGAGTCAATAAATAATAATTACTAAATTTATATCAACAACAATGGAAGTATATCAAGTTCAATAACATCAATAAGTTAAAAAATTAAGAAAAATATATATTTGTTTGTTTCTATTTTATGTAAAGAAGATCTAGTTACGCCATAAGAACAAACAACTAAGTGCTTGTCAATAACAATAAGTACCTAACACTAAGTTCAAACGATTCAATTAAAGTATATAAAACTTCCGTTCCTTGCATTAGCACCATTAATATTCAAAACTAAAGCTCATGTTTTTTCATTGTAATATCTAATACACATGGATATAATAATATCATAAATTATTATATTTTTCTAAAACCATTCCTCGTATTGGCTGCCCATGGTTCATCTCATTAAATCTGCTGCTCTTTGTCTATCTCGATGTACTTCTCGAGGATGCATTCTTTTGCGATGCGAGAAACAATTTCCAGAACTCGCGAAAGCTTTCGGACAATATGGACATTGATAAGGCCTTGCACCTGTATGTTGATTTATGTGAAACTTTAAATCTTGATTTCTTTTAAAAGTTTTATCACAAAGAGGGCACGCGTGCGGCCTCAAATCTGAGTGCGTTATACTATGCGCTCTCAAAGTAGAATTTGTTGGATAAACTCTTCCACATACATTGCATGGAAATTGTATTCCACCATGATACTCTTTGTGTCTGAATAAATTTGACTGTGTTTTAAAGCTGAAATAAAACGAGCAATTTTATTAATAGCTACTTCATTGGATGATCAATTAAATTTAACTCACATTTTCATATACTCACATTCTACCACATATGTCACAACCATATTTTCCTTTAGGCCGATGAGTTTCCAAATGTACTTTTAAATTTCCTTTAGTAGAAATTTTTTTGCTACAAATTGGACAAATAAAATTGCCAGATGAATTGTTATCAGTATTCATATGAAGTACACCATTAGTAGAATAAACTTGCTGGGATCTTAAAATAGGCTTCCCATCAAGTCGTTTATCTTTAGGCAAATGAGACCATAAATGATTCTGTAGACCAATTTGAGATATAAAGGATCGAGCACATATTGTACATTCATGAGGTTTGTTTGACACATCAGAAATAGATTCTTCAACATCTTCTTGAGATTTATCATTACTCTCTTCTTTCTTTTCTTTTTCTATTTCATCAGTTCTATAGAAAATAAATGCAATCACAAATATTAAAGAAAAGAAATACTATACTATGCTTATACTATGTTAATATAAATATTCTTACTTATTTGTTAATGGTAATGGTTCTGGGGAGTTTATTCTTGTTATTATTTCTTCTGTATCAGATACTTCTGAAGTTTCTGATGCTGAATTCTCCATACCATATTGTAAAAATAACATTGGATCTACTTTAACTTCCATTTCTTCCATACTAGGAGTATGGCATTTATCTTCTTGTGATATTAATTCTGATGGTCCCAGTGGTTCACCTTCAGCCAAAATTTCTATTGCCCCCTGAAAGATTTTAAACGTTAAATAAATATATATAAAATAATTTAAATCATAAATGAATGATTTTAATATACTTTTGTTAATATTGTATGTAATAATCCCCGATCTTCTATCCTCCTTGTATTTTGTATATCTTTGACACTTTCTCTTTCTATATTCTGTGTATTTGTATCACCACTATTATTGTATAATTGTGATTTTAACTTCTCCTGCGTTCTATATGCCATCATAGCAAAACGATGAATGTTTTCTAATCTTTTAATGCATGTAACACATACCATTTTTGATAATTTATCTTCAGAAGACACCTAAAACATAATATAATTACAATTTAATAATTGCTTGATATAATATAAGAATAAAATATAGAAAAAATGATTTAAAAAGTATTAAAACTACTAGAAGTATTAAAAAAGATTAAAAGTAATAAAAGTATTAAAAATTATTGGAACAGTGACAGAAATCCAAATTTAATATTATTAATTATTTATTATTTATATTTTTAATTATTTATTATCAGGAAGATAAAAAAGGAACTAAAAATGGAAAAATATTTTTGATAAATTAATTTTAAAAAATTTATAAAATTAATATATTCTATTTGTTTCATCATAAACATAATAAAATTTCCTGCCATATTTCTGAATAAAAAATAACCTTAATTTTATTTTAATAATTAATATTGTTTATCTTTGTTATATAAAGGTTTTTTAGTATTGAAATTTTATTGTATATTTTACAGAGATACTTTTTTTTACGGAAAATCTGCGCGAATTATTTATAAATTAAAATATTTACATATATATTATCATACAAATAGAATTATATTCATGGATGCGCCAGTTATATTGTGCATATAGCATACTTATTGTAATCAATAAAATGCTAATTTTTAACACTTCTGTATTCCCATCAAAATGGATTCTCCCATTTTCCTAATTATAGACATTTGATTATTCTGAATTAAATGTGTACGTATCAGAATTAATTATGTTAATTTTTACGTTAATTTGTATAAATGTACGTAAAATATATTAGTTTTGCTTGAAATTCGTTCTGAAAATCCGATTTTTTGTTAATTATTCCAAATAATAAATTACAATTAATAAATAATTTTTATGCGAGCCAATCAATTTACATGCATTGTTTTTTTTTAATATCCTATCTATCCAAAAATATATATTTCAAATTTGCATCGGCGCGTGACATTTTATAAAATTTCAAAGTTCCTTAGCGATCCTCAAATTTTTCCCGATAAATGTATATGTGTATCTGTTTGTATGTATAGAAAACGGGGTACAAGAAGGGGTTGAGCGCGAAACATCCGACAACGGGGTACCAAGCAGAGTTTTTGAAAAAAAAAAACACACGTTAGTATGCACACGAAACTGTATGTGTATGTGTATGCATATATATGTAAACGCGCATACACGGCGATCGCGCTAATTCACACGGAGTTGAGAAAGACTTACCAAGATGTAGAGATATTTTCGTATTTTGGTCTGCAGGTAGTGCCGTCTACCATCCTCAGCGAAAATGTGAACCCCGTCGTTTCTTGGTATGTCACTAGCACAAATCCGACAGTGGATCTCGTACTCCCGATCGCGCTCGAAATCGCGACCCGCCGTACCCATTTCAAAAAGAAAGAAAAAAAAGAAAATATGACGATATATCACCACGCTAAGGAAATGTTTTTTTTTCTTTCCTCACTATTTATATGTACAAGCACGATTTAAAAATGATTTATGTTAAATGATTCACGCGGCCCCGTTTCACAATGTTGAATTCATTGCTTATTGCTTATTTTCCCTCCCTTTCGTTATCTTAGCACCTTGATGGAAAAACGTCGGAAACGTTCGATATAAAAACTTTCAGCAATGCATCTTTACGACGTGCCAGCGTGTCTGAGAGGGTTGATTATTCTAACGATTTTTTTTTACTTATGAGTCTCCCGGATTGGGTGAGATTACTCCAGCACAACGTTGACGCTTTAAAAACGACGTCGGCGCCGGGCGTCGGCGTCTCTCCCGAAACGAGTGCTCAATACAAAATATATAATAGCATTCGTCGATTTGAAAAACATATGTATATAACCAATTGTTTTATTTATGGATTCCGGCCGTATTAAACTATATTTACTATTGGGATATTATAATGCATTTTATCGTCATTTGATCGTTATTTATGCGAGAATTAAAAATATGACGCGAGATATGTGGATTCGTATTTCTAAAATGTTACCCTTTGCTAGAAATAAAGAATAAAATGTATCAGCGCGGTACTCTTAATTGGTCCGCCATCTTCTTTTACTCATTCGTTTACATTTTTTATTTTCTCCGCGAACGTTTTCTCAGAGTTGTTTTATACTTTGAAGTTTTATCGAGTCGTGACTTTGTCTCACTGGCAATAGATCTCGATCAATACATTTCTTGAAAGTCGCGCCGCATCGACAAATTTAATGACAATTTTTCCGAACTTTCCCGCCAATTTTCCGATCGTGTATTACTACGCCCTGAGATAGGAGGGGTTGACTGTAGATGTTTTTGTCGCGACGAAAAATAGTTCCAGGTACTTGCGAACGAGCAGCCTCCCCCTTGATATGCTACGTCCCCATTTAAAAAAATCAATACTTAATAATTAGCAATTAATACAGTTGCTAAGTATATACGACTGTTATCTTGTTTTCCGCAGTTTTTAATGTACGTATGCGTTTGCTTGTTATTCAACTATTATTTAACTTGTTTAATTTTTCATATATTACTAATATTTAGATTATACGAGTGGCCACAAATTTTTGTAAAATATTGTAACAATTTTTTTAGTTATGTTTCATTACAAAACATTATTTTAAGTCCACTTAAAAAAATGTGAACACTTAATTTCAGGTTATTAATAAATTAATAAAGAAACGGATACTTAGAAAATAAATTATTTTCATGAAATCATATATTATTCTTTCGATAATAAATAGTAAATTTTTTTTCATATAAAAAATACAAGTAACTAATTAATTAATTCATACTTTTTATTGAATGAGAAATACAATTAAAGTAAACAACCAAATATAAATTTTACGTGAAAACGTAAACAGATCTATTTCATGCACATATTATGTTACGATTGTTTAGTTATATCTTTGAATGTAATTTGTATAACATACAACAGAACTATGTGTGTAAAAAAATGAAATATATTTAATGGAACATATATCATCCATACAATACTGTCAATCGATATCATTTAACATGTAGTAATTTATTAATATACTAAATATATGTATATTAAATAAGTACCAATTGTAAATAAAAATTACAATGTTGATCAATTTATAAATATTTGTGGTTTATTCTTGTCTTTTTTCAAAACATCTTTGTAGAGTGTTATAAAATCAGCACTAACTCAACATTTTGCCTTATTTTGAATTGGCAAAAATAATTTAAATTCTGCTGGCAATTCATCTTCAGAATATAGTCTATCAGAAAAGTATACTCTTCGTATTCTACAGTTTGCATGAATTTGAACTCTTAATGTCTCCACGTAATTTGTTCCATATGCACGTCTAGTAAAATCAGCTAAATTAAATTGAATCTGATTCCATCCATCATCCAGCCTCATGGGCATTGTACAGATAAAAGGTTTTACTCTAGTTGTGGATTGATAATTACTAGCACGAAATCTACGACGTACATTCTTGTCATCAATAACCTGAAGTCAAATATTTGATCAAATATATAATCATTTGGTATTATATGGTATTAGAACAAAAACAAAACAAAAACAGTTGATAAAATATTTTCTTACTTGGACTTCAAATGTAAAATATTTTTTTAAATTCTTAATTATCATCACTAGAAATGGCAATTTTATACCCAAAGTTTTTCTGGGATCTGCTGGACATGTTATATATGTAGTACTGACATTGCTACCCAATATTTCCAATACTAAACTTTGTATATCATTATCTGTAATTCGTTTTATGTGTCCATTTCTTACTTTTTTATCCCAAATTTGTAATGGTTTGCTACCAATACTATATAGTATTGATAAAAATCCACTTTGAAAGGTATTTTTAAACATGTTCACTTGCTTGTTTTTTTTTTGTTAATTTTAAAAGAAGTTCTTTTTGTTATATTCCCTGTTGGAAAACATGTGTCCGGAGATTTCAAAGAGTTTGATGCCTCGTTTTTATAAGTAACTTAACCTTTCATTTTATGACGTGAGATTCACTAAAAAGTTACATGTTTTAGATGGTTTTATTTTTGAAACAATAATTCCCGTATAACACTTAACATCATTCAGTCAACAAAAGCGTTTATAGTTTAAATCGACATCTTCTTCGTGAAATTTGATTTACTAAATAACTTTAGCGGCAAATATAACCTATATTTGTGTTTGATCAATGTTGCCATTAGATTTACAGCGACCTCGATCCAGAAATCGATCGATTATCTCGAATTTATCGATTTCACTCGTTCAATATCGATCATTTAAATTTAAAATGCAACAAATTGTCACGTATTTGTTCATCAAAATTAACAATAAAACAATAATGTATAGACAAAACAATAATATATAGAACAAAAATATAAAGTATTTTAACGTTTTTACAATTGTTTATTGATGTCAAATACAAACCGATAATGTTGAAATAAGCAATGGATATCTACGTATGAAACAATCATTTTTTTAAAAGGGAGTTACCGATTTTTCGCCATAAAAAATTTCATCAGTGTAAAATCTTTACTGTCATAATCTATTTCTTAATTTTTTTTCGTTCGATTGTGTTTTTTTTTTTTCTTTGATCGATATTACTGAAAGTTACATGTTACAACTGTACTCTCTCAAGAAATGAATAAGAAAACAAAGTAACTGATTTATTTTAAGAGCAGCTTTCATTTTCTATACCGCAACATTAAAAACAATAAATCGCACATCATGATCTCATTTTTCTATCGTCAGAAGAGCATGTTCTAATTATTCTTTTAACATAAACATGTACAGCATTATTAGACTAAATTAATAGGCGATTGAAGGTTTTTTTAACAGAAATTTTTGGGTGAATCATTCACATTTTTGACTACTTCCATTGAAATTAATTCTTTAACTATCGGTACGTGAGTTAGATACACTTGATGTTTCAATTATTCGAACGAAAACAATAAATAACTTCAATTGTTGAAAATATTAAAAATAAAAGGAAATTTTTGTGCCTTTATTCATCAATAGATGGAAACGCAAAGCGAAATACGTATGTTACTACAGTATAAATATGAATTTACAATTCAATGATAGTCAGTATTGTTGTAAACTTCCGTGCCGATAGTATAACTTGTTCAATAATTATGGATTTAAAAGAAAACCGTACTTGTAAAATAAAAGTATTTAGAATATGACCTTTTATTCTAATGCATCCGCGTTATCTCTCGGAATCACATTTATCTTTGTATTACGTAGAGATACTTCCACTTCATACATCTTAGTATTAATACTTTATTCACTTATTGTTACGACTAACTATTGTATTACAGTTTACGCGGATAAAATAGGTCCTGCAATAGGGGTACAATTTCGTGGGATTCATGTTTCTCTTTCTTTTTCATTTTCTTTCTCTTTTACTGAAAAAAACTACGCGAAAGAGGTTTATCACGACTCTTTTTCCTTGTCTCTTTTATTTAGAACGCTGAATCCCACGTGAAGAAGGAAGGCTCACCTATGAAGCGATATCTCAGAAAAAGGAACATTTATTAACTCGTCCTCGAGTAACCTATAAATTATTCAGAAAATTTTGCGTTATGAAAGGTTATCTGAAAGAAAAAAATATTATAAATAATATAAGTATTCCTTCTTATTCTTCTATACGTGATACCGAGTGTATTACGTATTGTGAAAAAGTAATCAGTACGTTACTAAAATTTGACCATCATTTGTGTATGTTTTTTTTACGTTTTCTTTTTCTTCTTTTTCAAGGGTTTGTAATATTTAAGAAACCTGTAAAATGATGCGAATAATGAATATAAGATAAGTCTTCACAAGAAGAAACATAGTATTACCTTTTCTTTGTTCTTATATAGATAGAACGAAGTCTATTTTTCGACATTATCTTCATTCATTATTGGATATTCTTTATATCATCACCAACTTAGTATCGTTATAAACTTCTGGCAATAAGACAAAATTCGGCGACGTTGTTTCTCAAAGTATAGTCTCATTAGGTTGTTGATAAACACATTTCGATAATAACTACGACTCAACGAGGCAAATTTTGAATTATTACCATCTTATCTATAATTTCCAATACATCCAGATCATCTTTTACTTTAGATAACGGATGTATGAAAATTCGAATGTCCTTTACTTCTCAGTATCTTGTAAAACACGAATGTAACCCCAGAGTGCTTCTAGGCCCCATAGAAAAGCAAATTGGGGCAATAATATGAATATATCACATTACCTTTCTTCAATTTTACAAATTTGAAAACGGAAACTCGTAGAACAACTGAGTACGTTTAAAGAGTCCCCAACTAATCGCCAAATCTTCATCATTTTTTATTATCTATTTGTGTTCAATTTTGTAAATCATATTAATTTAATAAAGGATTCTTAATAATAACTTATTTCTCAGTTGGAGACACTTAATACACATAAGTCCTCAAGATTTCTTGTCGAATCTCGTTTTGAAAAATGCGCTTGTTTCGTATTGGTGGTATATACAATTTCAAAATTAACCATTATTAAGAAAAATTCCGCTTTGCTCAACAAAACGGTGGAAAATTTTTCTACAAAATAAGATGATCCTATTGAAATCGCTTTTCGATCTAAGTATAAATACAAATAATTCATGAAATTGTTTCATTGATTTATATGTGTAGTAGGTAATAAGACATAACAGATATTTTATTCGCAAGAATGAGAAAGCCAAGGATTAAATAAAGAAATTAGGAGATGGCCGCATTTCATCTCAGATTTCAATATTTTTCGCTTAACGTTTCTACAATGCTTTCATGATCATAAACCATAACTCTCTGGAAAATGACCATTTCATTTATCATATTTAAACAATTTATGTTTTTTGGATTGTGATCCTATCAATGAAATTATCATAATAAATATAATAGAATCAATAACCACTGTTAAGATCACAATCTTGATCAAGCACCAATAACATCTCTTATCTCAAGACTTTATTATACGTTTAAGCGTACAAAACATGATTTAAATAATAATATATACTCATTTACGTAACTATAGAAGCAAGCCCTACGTTTTGTACCATACTTATAATCGTCGCAGAAATCTATTAAAGGCTGCTGCAAACGATCAGTTTCCATTAACTCATTAACGCCTGCTATATTCAAAGAAATAGACCCGATATTATCTGCCGATGAAATTTCCAAATATCTCACTTTAAATTGTTTCTCCATTTATTATTTTATCAATATAATATCCAAGAGTTAATCGAAATTTTAAATGAATATCAAATCTTTGCAGATAAATATGTTGTACGGTTATTTATTTTGTTAAAAATAATGCAATATTAGAGATTGTTTAAAGAATACTTTTAACTGAATATTATAATCACATAATTTGCCTTTCGAATATTATCACTTCTCGGAAAATATAGACGTAAAATATAACAAGTCAAACAATATGAAAAATTTTTAAATGCATGCCTTTCATTTAAGATTTCTCCAATAAAATTTCAATATAATTATTATAATCAAAATTTTAATAATAATTTTAATAATAATTTAAGATTTCAAGTAGGCATTAATAAGTTGTAGAAAAAAAAGAAAAGAAAAAAAAAGAAAAGAAAAAAAAAGAATATTACTTATATATTGGTGCTTGAGCAATTTCTTGATGCAATTAAGGCACTGCAAAAGATTGATCCTTCATAAAAAGCTACTGATCTTCAAAATCCGCGATCCGTTAAGTTAAAGAAGCAATGGCGTTATGTATGAAGATCAAGAGTCATCGGTGATTCAATATCGAAGTTACCGTGCAATAAGGCCCAGAGAGATAGATCAAGAAGACTCATTTTCCCTCCAATTAGTTCATTCAACAACTGTAATATATGTAAATACATTAATAAAAATAGAACACATGATTAATACTATATAAAAAATAATTTAAAGAGAATATATACATAAAAACAACATATATACTAATAAAAATAAAAACTTGCATTCATGATACACAATAAAAATATTAGAAACACATATGAATACAATAATGAAACAAAACAATGTTCATCTATCTAATAAGTTAAAGAGAATTCAATCATTATTAAAAAGTTTATCGTGGTGTTCAAAAAGATTTAATATTAAGGTTTAATATTAATATTTGTTATATTAATATTAAACCTACAATGAAATCACTTGCTTTGTAAAATTTGTTTTCGGACATATATTGTTCTCATCAATGACTTTATGAAATGTCCTTAAGTTAATTTTCCTTTGCAATGCCTTAAAAGGGCAATGTAAATTAAACTTATATATAAGTCTTAATACTATATAATTACTTATCAATAGTTCCATCCATCATATTATTTTTTACTTGAATACTAATATGTATTCCATCCCCAGACGCACCTTTATCTTTTTTTGTTTGTGAGTTGGATGCATTATCAAGACCCAGCTTACTTAAAGTACATAGAGCTTTCAATGCTGCTTGATTACGGCTCGCAGTTCTTGTTGGCCCATTGCCATGACAAACTTGTGGTGGATCTGTACTTAATGTTACAAGTGATAAATATTCTTTGTTTACTGCTCCCTAAAAACAAGATTAATTATTAATTCATTAGTTCATATTATATACAATTATGTATATTATTTGTTAATATACATATTATAGAAAAAATAACTATATGCACCTTTGGAAAATCATTAAATTCCACGCTGAAATTAAATAACTGCGACAAATATTTTAATTGATCTTTGGGAGAAACAGTGGGTGGGTTTTGTTGCTGTTGTCCTCGTAGTTCTTCAGCAACAATTTGTACGCTAGGTCCGCTGCCTAATTTGGATTCTTGACCTCCATCCACTAATAAAAGTCCAGGTACTAACTGACGTCCAATAGTTCCTGATTACAGTTAGAAACTTCAGAATATACCAACTAACGTGACATTTAAATTTTGCCATTCATAATTTATACATAATAAATACTATAGATATTCATATGATGTATGTACTGTCTTACCTCCTACTGGTGGATGAGGTTGAGTTTCATTGATCTGCTCATCTTCTAAGAAAGTGACTTTTCTAGGTTTTTGTTGTTCAGTATTCTCACTTTCTCCTGTTTTAATCGATGGCTTCGTCGGTTGTGGTTGAGGCTTACTGTAACCTAACTGTGCTAAAAGAGCTTCTGCAGCAGCTCTTTTAGCTAACTTTTTATTGGGACCTATTCCTTGAGCAGAATGTTGTCCCATAGTAACCTCCATAACGAATTCTTTTCGCCTCGGAGCACCTTTTTCTTCAATCAGATTATAGACAGGTTCCTTCTCTCGTTTAGCTTGTTGTATTTGATCCAATCGTGAAACTGGATTAACTTCCTCTGCAGCGTCAGACTCGGAACGTGGTTCTTGATAAACTTTTATAAGATTTCGAGACTTCTTCTTCGTTGCCGGTGGTTTGCGTTTCACACGTACTAGGCGATTTTGAATAGTTTCAGGCAACGGAGGTAGACGATTGAGTTCTTCTAACATAAACTCCGCTGCATGTTTTTTTGATATCTACACGTTAAATCATAAATATATTATATAAAAGATGTTTTTTATTTTATTACAAAAGAAATCTATATAAAGTATAATTTTAAGCACGAAAAACATACTTTCTTTGAAGGCCCTTCTCCCAACGTAACTTTATCTCCGACAGTACATTTTGTTCTGAATGTCCGAATATGAGGCTTACCAATTTCTGATACAACTTCAAAACTAACAGGTAAACCACGTTTTAATGCTTTTTCGTGAACTAATGATACAGGGCTCTTCAATTCTGCAATCGGATCTTTAGCTTCACCTAATGTACCATTTTCGCCACTGCTACAAGTATTTGTTACTTCTTCCGGTAATGGCAATTGGCGCAATTGTTCTAGAGCTTTACTTGCTGCATCATGTCTTGCTGCTTGACCTGTCAAACCCCTACCAATAAATTCACGTTCTCCTACCTATAAATTAATATCAAATATTTATATCAAAAATAGATCAAATATTTATATCAAAAATTACATTGAAATGTTTATTATTCTTTCTACCTTCAAAGATACAAGATATAATTGAGGTTCTGCATGGAAACCACGATTATATGTAGGGAAACGTGGATTAAATATTCGAGGAAAGTGTCCTAAACTATTTGTAACATATTGTTGTAATCCTGCTGGTGGAGCTTGTCTAAAAGTATAGACAGTAGCTTCTCCTCTTTTCATAGCCAAAGCATTCAATTCAACAGTTGGTGGCAAATTTCCTATAATCAACAGATTAGTTTAAGATTTCATAATATTTATATTCTTATAACAATTGCTACACATATAGTATATATATTTACCTGGACCACTGAATTTTCCTGGATGTCCAACTCTCATTGTCTTTGTAGGTTTCGGCGGGGGTCGTTGATACCAGGTCTTTGTTAACGCTTCAGTAGCAGCACTATGTTGAGCCTTTTTAATACTAGGACCCTCAGCAACATATTCTTCTTCTCCCAATCTTAGCGTTACGGTAAATCGTTTCTTGTGCGCTGGTCCTTGTTCATTAGTCAACCTATATTGATGCTGAATCTTATTAAAACGTGCTAACTCATTCAACAAGCACATTGGTGTTTTTTCTTTCATGTTTGCCAAAGCTGAATCAGTCACATTAACGTGATTTTGAGTAGGTGAACTCTGATCTCTGGACTCTCCACTGTTTGTTTCATTTGTAACTGGTTTATTTGATTCTATGCTTTGCGGTTGTTGAATGTGTTGCTGTGGAGGTAGGGGATTTCGTTGATTATTTTGTGGTTGTGGATACTGTGGTGGTGGTATATTTGGATTTTGTAGAGTCACAGAAACAGTGTTTGCTTGATCCTTTAGACTGACGCTAACCATGGTGCCTAAGAAAAGTGAGCCAAGTTAGCTTTCTAATATTAAAAATAATTCGTTAATGTGATAAACTGCAATTTATTTAGTATACCGTTTGTATTGTGTGCATTCATGCCCATCAACATTGGCTGCCTTGGATTTCCATGTGGTGGTCCAGGGTGTTGCATATGATGAATATGTTGTTGATGGGGGGGCATGGACAGTATTTGTTGATGAGGATTCCGATGCGGTAACGGATGCTGAGGCTGATGTAATGGGGCCATATTTGCCTGTTGCATAGGACGCATCGGACCACCCATTCTAATGGAATAAATATAAAAATTTAAATATATTATATATATATAATATATATATAATATATATATATATTATTTACTTAAATTCCATGTTTTAAAGAATTTTATATTTATAACACTAGAAGAATTGTCAAACCTGTTATGATCTCGAAGTTGGTTTTGCATTGTATGATGTTGGTGACGTAACATCATGTACAAAAATTATGCACACACAACCTAAAATGAATAAAAATATTGAATAAAAAATGTCCTACAAAATTTATTTAAGACAAAGGCGTTTACGTCTTTTATTCCGAGATGAAAAAACTTGCCATGAAATTTCTTCTGTATGTATATGTTCTGATATAAAGAATAAGTATTAATTTGTTAATATAAGTATTACATATAAACGAGACATATAATTTAAACAACAAAGGCGCTAAAACTTTTCACAAAGTGGATTCTATTACTTGAAGTAAATTAATATATCGTAAAATATTATACGTTGTGATATTAAACATAATAATGAGATTAGAAGTAGCAGGCATTTGACAGTACTCGCAAATGTAAATCGTATTATCCATTGGTATATTATCCAGGTTGAATCCAAAGAAATTCGATCGTAATTGATATACGCAACAGTGTGAATGAAAAATTTTTATTCTAATGAACTAGTCAATAGACAATGGGCTTGGCCCGGCTATTTGGCAGCAGAACTATATGGTTGAATTTTCTTACCGAAGTTTGTTCTATTTCACGAAAATTTTCAGATTATTCAACAGCGAAATTTCCGGCGAAACAGATCTGCCACTTAAGGGAACACTGCCAGGCCCTTCACGCGGCTATTGGCAAACAGTAAAGAAAAATCGTCTGTAGACTAAAATGCGGCCATTTTGATGTGAGCCTCTCGGCCACCGTCTCTCATCCCTTCCAAAGGATATCCTGCTTGCCGATTTTTTTAAAAGTCCCCAATATCGACTTTGATTATCGATACTTCTCGTTTCTTTAAATTGTACGTTATTAACAATAATTTTCTTACGCCAATAACAAAAATATCTCGTCGATTGCAGCAGAATAAATATCTTGTTTTAAACTAATAAAATCACTGATATTCTTGAAATATGTTGTAACATTATATCATAAATTCAAATTTCGTAACGAATGAAATGATAGATATAGGTAATCAAAATTTCTTTCAATATTATTGATTGAAGTTTGGTTAACGTTATTATTAATCGTTAAAAAAAAGATATATAAGGTTTGATAATAAAGTCAGTTTCATACGTCAGCAAATTTCATGGGGAACAAATGCAATAAATATTAATAACGTAAAAGTTTTATATATAATATTCTGTTATAAGCATAACCGAAATGACAATAAATGATTGTTAATTTTTTGTCACGTTAAGACATTTTAATATCGATATTTTGTTTATTGAATGAGGTTTAATAATGTAACATATACTCGTAACGTAAACTCTTGCTGACCGTGCAATCAATTCTTAGTCTTAAATAATGTTTAAAGAACTTATGTAATCAACATATAAAATATAAAATTGTATAGATTATTTAACCAAAACAATGTTAAATTGATATAAAATTTGTCGTGACGTACGAATTGTTAAAATTTTTATTATATTTTTAGACAATTTATCTCATTCACATTTTTTAATCGCATGAAAGAATGAAATGCAAAGTAAATTTGAAATAATGTTAGCATTAAGTATCTGACAAACATAACCTATTAATCGTTTTCTAATTATGCAAATATTTGATCACGAATTTGATGCGTAAATAAATAACTTTTGTAATCAAGTTAAATTAGAACATTAGATACAAAATAATACACCACCTAAAATGTTTCAGTTATTCTTTGATTTATTTTTTAAGCTTATTTGCTATATTTCTCTTTATAAACGTAAAAATGGAACAATCATTCTTTTAATATTAACCATTAGTATATGCTTATTTACAGTGATATATGTACAATAACGCACATATGCAATATATTAGATTACAAGGATAATCAACTGAATGTATTTTCAACAATGCAATAAAAACACGTGTAATATAGACGTGATAAATTACAATTTGGATTAAACTTAGAAATAATTTGAAGATATTTTACTGAAAACAGATCATCTTAATTTAATGGATTGTAGGGCATAAAAAATTATAAACACTAATATTTTTCTAGTCTTTTCCTTCAAAGTATATAATTTAGTCTTTTTTTAATGTGCAAAAGTATTAAATTTATAATCTTTTTTTTTAAAAATGATTCTTACATATTTCAATTATAAAATTCACTTTCATGAAAAAAATTACAAACAAACACTTTTTTATAAACTTACAAGATGCATTATCTTAATCAAAATAGCACACAATATTTTTCTACACTTCTGACTTGGTTTTTTATAATCGTCTTCAATTAATCTGTTTGACTAAACATTGATGCATTAAAAAATTACAATTTCTATAACAAAAATGTTATAATTGCATTACTTATTCCGTCATAGTTTTTCTTATCATCTAATAATTCATTATAGAATCGCACTTTGTGTTATATTCATTTAACTTTCTTATTAATTTCTCTTTGGAGCCAATAAGCGTCTAGCATCATTGTCTTCAAGACTCAGCTAAGCTCCATTATTATAAAATAATTTATTAAACATTTAACGGTTTCAATTAATAAATACTATTTGATATACAATTTCACTACTAAATTTACAAAGAGCAGAATATAGATATTTAGTGTCCCTGTAAAAAAGTTCAGGATGATTATCTTATCTAAGAAACTATTTAAATATGAAAGGGCAATAATTTTAGTCTTTATACAAAAATGCATTTAAACAAAATTAAAGAATAAATCTTCTTATATTTAAATTTAGTTAATGATATAGATGATATGTTGTAATTTATTAGCATGCCCCATAAAACTTTCTCTTATTTTTATGTAAATAATAATGAAAAGTAGATGAAATTATCTTAGTTCTAATCTAGATATAATATTCATGATTTCATTAATTGATCAATAGGTAAGATAATCTGCCTGATCATTTAATCTAGGACAATCTACTTAGTGTTTGGTCAAATCACTATCACTCCTTATAAATAGCAACAAGTGAATTTGACATTATTAATTATTTATATAAATCATTGCTATTACTGTATATTTTTCAATCCACTTCTTCTTAGTGTGAAATAACGACTAAAGTAATAACAATGAAATTTATTTCAAATATACCTGGCTCTAATTATTTCTTACAATCAATTCAATACTTCGTTACTCTTTATTAAGAATTCCATTTGAAACAAAATCATTGAAGTGGATTAAAAATAAATACAATCTTTTTTATACTAATTTTCAATAGCATTAGGCACTGTCAACCTTTTATTGGAAATGTTCATTTCGTTCAAAAAATTTTATTTTTAAGAAAGTTAGAAAAATCAGTTCTTTTACTAAAAAAAGAAAAAGAAAGATTCGTCATGATCAAACAAGTTCTATTTTTAATGTATTTTAATTTAGTAAAATACATGATAAAATAATATGTTACTTACTAAATTTAAATTTTTACAACCATTTTTTTAAATAGAAGATATGTATTAAATTTCTAAAGTTGCATATTAGTTTTTCCATTTTATAGAAATTAAATCTAAATTTACTTTCATATTATTAACAATATACACAATTAAATTTACAAACTATGTTAATAAACTTGAATCTGCATTTATATATTAAATCACAATATCATTCGCGCTAAAATTTTTATAAAAAAAAAAAAAAAAAAAGAAATAAAGAAAATACAATCAAAGAAAACATTTAGTCATTTATATTTCAATTTATTAAGGATCTTTAGTTGTGCAGTTGGTAGAATTATGTTATTCGATCGATGTTGTACTTTATCAGGATATTATATTTATATTAATTTATTCGAAAAACAGGAAAATTTAAAAATTAAATTATAATTTTTAATTATTATTTAAAATATTAAGAGTATCCCAAATGCCTGCATTCGAGACTTAAAATTTATACAAATTGTATTTATAGAGAAAAAAAAAATATAAAATACTATAAACTGCATACAGTAATTTTACTTTAATATTAGATCCAAAAAGTAAAAATTACAAATTTTTGAATATTGAATAATATTGTATAAAGAGACTTTATTGTCACAACACATATTTTTTTAACTCTCACATAGAACAAAATATATTTCTACCAACTGTACAATAACTAAATAAAGAACAAGAAAAAAAGGAGTATATAGAAACTATATCTCCTTGGTTGACGTACAGAATGCTATTTTGTTTCATTAGATTTAACAATTATTATCACTTCACGCGCCTTGGCAACATACATCCTTAAACGCTAATACGCTTATCGCTTTATAGATGTACGACTTGCTTTTATTGGGATACTTTGTATTCCTCTTATATTTTCTGCATCTCATTCACTGAATTCTTTTTGTTATCGAAATAATGCCCCGATTATGCAATGAATTTTTAACTTATTTTTGTGGCACCATTATGATTCACCTTATGATTTACAGTCCAGTTATCTTCTTGTACAGTTTTCAAATATTCTTCTAGTAATGATGCCAAATTACGTCTTTTGAATCGTAATGATTCTTTCACAATATCTCGTAAAAATGCAAGTCGTATATCTAGAGTTCCTTGAATTTGGTGTAAATGTGAAAATAGTGTTGCGTAATCTGAAACAAGATTACAATTGATAGAAATTGCCTTATAAATTCGCTTCTTCATAGGTTATAGATACGTATAAATAAATAACAGAAATATCCATTTCAACTTACTTGTACCTCTTCTTCGCACTTCCTTATATACAAGTTCTCGAACGGACAAGTTATGTTTTCTAATATCCTCCAATTCTTTTTTTGTCAAGGTTTTGTCTTTTTCTACTTTGGACTCACGTTTTTCTTCGACATGATTAGACAATCGTTCATCAACCGAATTTTCAACTTTCACACTATTTTCAACACAATCATTAGGAGGTAGATTGTTACACTCATTCTTAATATTTTCCATTGTCTCAGTTTTTCTTTCTTCATTCTTAGGTGTATCAACATTATTAACTATCGGTGTTAAAGTTGGTGGAGCATCCATGTGATTATTAGTATGTTCTACTGGAATTGGTTCAAAAACTGGTATCGTTGGCATTTCTGCAAGGCCATTTACTAATTTCTCTGGCGAATTGATACACGACGTATTAGATACACTAGGTGTTGTTATGTTTGATGAAACTTGATTCGAGTCGGCAGTTGGAGTCACTTGATTTTTCGTATCATCAACCCATGGTACCGGCGAACTCGGTGGAGTATTCGTAGGTGTATACGACGGCCTTCGTACGACTACATCTTTAGGAATTGGACCTGGTTTTCGTTTATTTGGTGGTGGTTTCGAAGCAAGCGACCCTCCTCCATCCGACGCAGGCAAAGTACGTTTAAGACCTTTAGAAGTTGAAGATGTTGCACCAACCATATCAATATCCGCTTCATCGACCATCATTCTTTTATCTATCTTGAATGGATTACCTGGAATTTAATCACGAAAAATTAAATACTCTTTCAAAATAATTAGATTAATCTTAAATTAGATTTTAAATAATCACCGAACATATGTTGTCTAACTGGAGCACTTTCTATTTCTCTCAATGGTGGCGTCATACGTTTTAAATATTCTTGATAATTTCCCATTTGTGCTAAGGGCATTGAATGAACATAATCATCATCAAGTAATTTTGTATGCAACAATCCAGGTTGTAGAAAATTGGCACGCATTCTAACAACTTGATCTAACAAAGATTTCCGTGGAACATCAAATGCGTTCCTATAACTATGCGCACCACGTTGTTGATTTCTAACTAATCCGACTACAAAACCACCAAATTCATTTAATTGATCCCTCAATCCAGTAAATTTATCTTGTAGTAATGGATGTGATACCTGTTAGATTAGATTAGAAAATAAAATTAATTGTATAAGAATATAAATTTATGATGTACAGAATTTATATAGATAATAAGAAGTATTTACCAAGTCTTTCTTTAAAGGAGTTCTGGGAACAACCCTTACACCTTCTGTTACTGTTGTACTACCATTTACTAAATTTTTTGTCATATTGGCAGTAGCAAGTTGTTTGGAAAGAACTTCATTACATAGTCTGTCAAATTCGATTTTAGCTTGATTTTTTAACCGTTTTAAATAATTTAAGACACTGTATGATAACGAATTATCCATATTATCAGGTATTAATGTTTGTGCTAATGGTGCAGGTGCACCCATTCGTGTTAAAGCTCTTCTAAGGGACTGTAATTTAAAATATAGCGTTATTCAAATTTATTAATCAAGTACTTCAGTATTTTGGTGACCGATTAAAAACTTACCGCTGCATAATAAGTCGGCATTGTTCTCATGTAATTTTGAAATTGCGTCCGCCATTCATTTGTTGGTTTTAATCTGTGCACTTTGAATAATTCTTCCAACAAAGGCAAAAGTACTGGGTAGTTATAAGGCATAACAAATAGATTTACACAAGTTAAATTAGTACTTGCTTTTAAATATCCAAATGGATGACCCACGTCACTTGATTTGTAAGAATTTGCCACAAAAACTTGCCAACAAATTGTCGGTTGTTTTCTGGCTAATATGTATTGCGTTAATGGACTCGGTTCTAATTCATATTTATCAAATGGAAGATTTTCTATCACCATAGGCTCTTGACTGGTGCACGTAAATTTTACATTCGGATGTGCCGATCTAGGTGGCAAAGAACTAGCACTTAAATCAGGCCAAAAACTTTCAGGAATCGGCCAGAATCCAACTGCGAAACCTTTTTGAGCAGATCTTGGGACGTAAATCAGTCTTCTACAAGAATGCCATGCTGTATTTCCAGGTACCGTTGGATTAGGAAGATACGTTCGCGTTCCATTCGTTGTATTATTTTCATCCTCGTTTTCATCATCATCTGCGTGTTGTGTTTCGTTATTTAAAGGTGGAGGATCTGGTCCAATTTTTTCGAAATTTATTACTACACCAGACTGAACCTTTTGTACTAAGGAATCTATACATTGCATCATCATTCTAAAAGATGTTATACAGTATGAACGACCTATAATAAATAATATATTTATTATGTCAGTATTTTTTATGAATAGGAATAAAATAAATTACGTTATAAAAATATTTTTTATACCTCCAGTAACTTCACACATGGCATCTATGGGAGATGCATCACTTGCAACTAAACCCGTATCTCTCTCAACAGCAGGAGTTCCGGATAAACGGAGTACCAAAGAAAATAATCTTTGATCCCACCTAAATGGCTCCTTTGTTAATTCAGATCCAGGTATAGGAGAGTGCATTGGCAATGTGAACTATAACCATAATTTTTTTGTGTCTAATTATTTTTTTATATTATAAAAAGCAAAAATATTATTAAAAAAATAAATAGATAAATATACAAATAAAAACCTTACATCTTGATTCACTCCTTGATTAGTTGTATATTTTCCTCCATCTGTAATTACAACAATTACAGATGGTTCCAAATAAAAGGGACATCTTCCCTGTCCATATGTATCTATACCAGTTTGCATACGATTTATATTCAAAACATCCAAAGCATGTTTCAAAGCAGCACCTAATGTTGTCAACCCAACACATTGTAAATTTTTAAGCTCGTTCATAAAAGTTGCTAAATTCTCTTTCCATCCAGCCTAAAAAAAAAAAAAAATGAGACTAAGTTAAAGAAATAATGAGTATAAAGACTAATTAAGAGAAAATATTTTCTTTTTCAATGTAATCATTCGATGACAATAATCATAAAGTATGATATAATATATCATCGAAATGTTTTTTGTGTTAAATATGAAGCATCTTAATATTTAATTTTTAATTATAATAAAGCAAGAAAGATGATGAATGATGATGATTAGCTTGTCAAGTTTAAAAAAGTTTAAAAAAGTTTAAAAAAGTTTAAAAAAGTTTAAAAAAGATACAAAATTATAACTTATTACAAGGTTTGAAGTTCTGTCAATAAAGTTCAGCAATGGAGGAGAAGAAAATTATTCTGCAATGCTGAGAACCTCCATGTAACATTAGATATTCAGACAATAAAGAATAGCCACATAAAAATTTACAATGTTCATTATCTATCATATTGATGAGTTTCGTAACTTATCGTTGTATCAAAAATATCAGTTTATATTAGCTTTTATGATAATTCTTTATTGTCTCAGGATCCAGTGTCACACTGGAAAACTTATTTTACTTCTCTACCATTATCAACTGACGACAGTACCTTAATCCTTATAACAATTTCCAACCTTAGACCATTTTTAATCGATCATTATGTTCAATTCTGAAAAAAGAAATGTTTCCACTTCAACTTGTAAGTGCATTTAATATAAATACAAAACTAAATAGGATTAAATCAAAATATTACTAAGGAATAGTAAGAATTAGAAAAGATATGGTTGAAGGAAAATGAATAAAGCACAGAATTAAGCAATACTGGTTTGGAAAAGCAATACTTCTTTGTCAATAAAATGTCTTGTCAATAAAATCGTCTATAACAAATTCATAAATTTGGCGCGCATGTAATCATAGAGAAAGACCCTCGTGGGTAGACCCCCACCCCATGTTACTACCCACAATGCTGCTCTTCCGTAACGGAGGACGGAAGATACGGCAAGTGCACGCTGCACTTTGCTACCTTCTTGCTGAGTATCAATTATTCAGCAATCGAAGGGAACCAATAACACGGCAATTTTCCATGAATACATCGACTGGCTGCATGAGACAACGAACTATAAATGCACTCGAAAGGGAAAACGGAGAAGATATTCGAGAGAAAAAGACTATAATTGAGACTTTTATACATGGGACACTTTATGTAGGAGTTAGCACAGAGAGCATGTAAGAAAGAGATATAATGATCTTAGGAACGAGAGAAAGGGAAAAAGACAAAAAGCGTGAAAGATACGAACGTTAAGCAAATTGAAATACGATGAGAAACATACCTTAATATTCTGGGGCGGATCTTCGAAGGTCAGGAGCATATAACGATCTCCACGGCTTTCTGGTGACCTTTGCCTCACCTGAAAGAAAAAGAAAAAAAAAAGAGGGTTAAACGATTAAAAATTACGTGTTACAAGAAGACGAAAAAGACACGGGGAATCCGTTATTGCACGTTGCTGTTTTTTTGACAACGATAACACGAGTTAACGATTGAGCACAGTAACCACAATTGAATCTCCCGGCCGGGAAAGCTGTCTGACTAGCGTACCTTCACGAAAGTCTCCACGGCGCTCTTGGCTACATCCAAAAGCGTGGGTCGCCCGCCCAAATATGCCCTCTGATTCATGGAGGCCGACGTGTCGATCAAAAAGACTATTATGGTCATCTTCGCGAGGCGAACCCGCTCGTTCTCGAGGTCGTAACTGCGGCCCGAGACCTCCCGTAGTCAGAACTAGCTAGCTAACAGTCCTACGACGGCGTGGCGCATAGCTGCTTCGACCATTGAACGCTCCCGAATACGCTCTCCGAAAAACTTCTTTTATCGTAACGGCGCCCGCTTCGCTCTTACTCTCTTTCGATCTCTCTCTTTCTTTTCTTTTTACTTCTCTTTCTTTCTTTCTATATTTATATATGTGTATGTTGTGTATGGTATACGTATACGTTATGTATATATACGTGTATGTGTGTATATATAATTAATATGTATATATAATGTGTGTATGTGTATACGTCCTTTTCTCTATCTTTCTCTACACCAAACTGAATATCTACTGCTACGTCGCGCGCTTCTGGTGCTTGAATGTGCCTGGTGGACAGCGGCACACAGGACAGCAGCTGAAACGCAGCCACGAGATCGCGAGTAGTCGTGTCGTGAGTCGGACAAGTCCGTCTGCCAGTCTGTCCGCTTGTCTCTCGTTCGTTCCTCTCTTCTTTTCCTATCCTCACCCTACCTGTATCTTTCTCTTCTTTCCTTTCTTGCTCTCTCTCTCTCGTTTTCTCTTTCTTTTTCTCTCTCTCTATCTCACTTTCGCTATCACAATATCCTTTATCTTCTCACGGACAGTTTCAATCGTTTCAGTCTTTCATCTCTTTTCTTACCACAGATGATGTGTGTACAGCTATCCTACTCTCTATCTACCGCTCTTTCTTACTCTTTCGATTTAATGAGAACAAAACTTAACCTTCTCTCTCAACGTTTCATTCGTCTCTGTTGACGGTAGTTTCGCCTTGCTCGTGGTACACTGCGTCGCGAACCACGTGATCTCGTAGAGTTTCCCCCTATTGGCTGTTCTCCCTCCACAGTGTGACAGCATCATGATTCAACATTGTACTGTTGTGTAGGTGCCTGTCAGTACGCTGTTTACGTTTGCGAATAGAACAGTTGATTTCTACACATTTTACATGTTCCACAGCACACACAATATGGTGAAGTTGGGTATGTTCTAAATTGCGAAGTGGATAAAGACACATGTATGTGCAAGAAGATAATATTACAATTAATAGGTAACCTATTTGTTTTATCTTATTAGCAAGATTTGGCGCTGCTTTGAGTGCATATTTCTCTCCTATCTTGTTATAATCGTGTAC